TATTTTATTAATTTTTATAGTATTTATCCGCGTATTAACACGGATCATATTCTAGTACTATATACGACCGGATGATTTCACATGTTTCAGTAAAAAAAAAAAAGTAAATTTATGATAAATAAAAAGGACAATGCAAATGCTTCGCATGTAGAAAGGTATGTAGAGAAGCTATAATCATATTGCCATTTCTACGAAATCTTCAGAAGCGGCATGTTATTTCTCATGCACTTAGGTTGTCCGAGCACAATTTTTGGATCTTAAAGCACTCCCAATGGAAGTATCTCGATGAATTTCTTAACTATAAAAAAACAAAAGAATGAGAAGAGGTTTTTTTTGAGAAACTTTGCAAAAAAAAATTAGATACCCATATAACATTTGTCACTCTATTATTGATGTACTTTTATTTTCATAATTTAAAAATTAAATAAATAATTAAATTTTATTGAAATCATTAAAATAATAAGTATAAGAAACTTAAAGGTTTTCTAAAGGATGGAGGTGTTCTTACATTCCAGATAACACAATTTCGGGAGCATTTGGTCGTTGATCACGGCGACATGCAAACAAACAACATTTGATCGTTATAGTTAACGAAACAGGACCATACTAGCTCAAGTGTGCTTGTCCTCAACGACAATTAACATGCACACTTCCAGCATCATCTGCAACACGTTACAAGAAGCTATTCAGCCATGTTACAATCATCAGCCTCAAGTTACATCCAATGTTCTAAACTAGCGTGATTTGACTAATGTTTCAGCAAATATAATTCACGAATTTGGGCGAGGTAATTTCTATCACTCGTACTTACATGATTGACTCAATCAAAAGACTCTGAAAGTCCCTTGCTCAATCCAACTCGAAGTCATTTCTTGATCGCCAAAAATTTTAGCCATATTTACTGTCTAGAAGTCGAACCCGCCCCCAAATCAACAGTCCACAAAGCTCGAAATTTTGTCTCAAACAATCTATACTTAATATTGTACTTTTAACATTTTAAATTTTTCAAACAAGTTTCAAAGGTCATAAAAAAAATTATTCGCAAGTCTATACCAAGAGTATAAATTAAAGACACATAGTTAGCTAATTTGACCTGCCAAGATAAAATAATCAACTTAATATTTGATATTTAATAGCGTATAATCGTATTTCATTTAAATTGAACCATTCCTTTTATCAATTTATCATAAGCTCGATCGCGCTTCACTAACCTCCCAAGAAAATCACTTTCTAATGATAAGTTTATAGTTGTGAAAAGAATTCCCTTTTAGTTTGTTTGTTCACATGACTGTTAAGTTGTTTAAGAAAAACCCTCCAAAAATAGCAA